GCTTAAGAAACAAAATACCGGTAACCCATCGCTGAAGGAACTAGGAGGTCAGTTTGGTGTGAGCTTAGTTCCCGGCCAGCAGGTGGAGACACAGTAGTCTCCCATTGAGGCACTGAAGCAGGCAGGGAGGGTTCCGGCTGAGACATAGTGAAACTGGATCGATATGTGCCCTGTGGTCAGGGCACCTGGAACTACCTGCCGTTAACAACACCAAACCTCCTGCCATTGGGTTGACAGCGCTGACTCATAGTGACCCTGCGTAGGATTTCCCAGACTAAATCCTTACAGGAACAAACAGCCTCATCCGTCCCCCAAGGAGCTACTACTAGTGGTTTGTGTTCCCGGCCTTACGGTGTCACAGCCCCACAGCTGCCCTCAGCACCTCGGGGAAGCCAGTTGGGCTGACTGCACACTGTGGCACAGGGGGGCATCCCACTGAGAATGTGGGAGGAAGGATCTAGTCTGGACTCGGGGCTTTGATTGGGTGAGGGCTCAAGGAAGCAGGGACTCTTGCGTGCTTTAAGGAAGAGGGAACCGTTCTATAATTATCTCAAGTACCTCTATTACAGAGCAGGCAGACTAGAGCAAGACTAGAGCTGTGATTGGCAAAGGCGTCGCGCTCACTCCTGGGGTGGGGTGGGGGGGGCGAGGCAGTGTTTGCAGTCCTGTGAGTCACACCGCAGCCTTGTCTGGGTTCCGATGAGATCGGGACGTGGTCTCACTGTGTCTCACTTTACCCAGGCTTCCGTGTGCCCTGTGTGAGCCTGGGGTTCTGTGAGGTTGTTGTGTCCAGTAGGAGAGCCACACGGCCTCACCGTGAGTAGCATCAAGGTCTGGCACCCCGATCTCCATAGGTCAGGGGCTGCTTTATGGGACTGCTTGATTTCACCGAGGGGTACAGAGGAGAAGATTTTAAAGTTACCCTTCCCCCCGGAAAGCAAACCAAACTGCCTCTGTGAGCACCACAGTGCAGCTCAGTGGCTGGGCTACTTAATTCACTTTGGTTTTGTTTTCGTTGCTGCATCTCTTTCTGTGGCAGTTATATAATCTGTCAACTTGCAAAGGGGTGGGATCTAGCCTGTCAATTAGGTCATAACCAATGACGTTTCAGTGTGGGCATGGCCTTCTCCTGAGGATTCTGGGAACTCCTATCTTCCTCCCTGGAGGTGGGACAGA